CTGCGCCCTTGCCGGGGCTGCTGTTTAGAGGTGAGATGCCCGCTCCGGGGGTCTAACCACTCCTTCCTTCCTTCTTTATCCTGCAGCCAAGCTGAACATCTGAATTGCTAAGTGTGTCTTGAACTCCCTTCGCTTCCAGGCGGTGGCGGGGGGGGGGGGGTTCTTTTTGCCTGAAGTGACACAAAAGCTTTCCCAAGCTTCCTCCCGAATCCCTCCCATCCCCCAGGGCCCTCCCCACCAACACACTGGGACCGGTACCCTGCTGGGTGCTCTACCTCTCCCTCCCTGATAATTACATAAGGTATGTGAGGACGGAGCCTTGTCTGTCCAGTTCATCCTTGTATCCCGTTTGTAGAAAGGGTTCAATAAATATTTTTTGGTGAAATAATGAATAATTGGATTGAGAATATAAACAGAAGGTGAAACTTAGAAGAAACGCCAGGACTATATCAACTGCTGGTCCTCCGTACCTGGAGCTTCTCCTTCCAAGGATAAAACTTTGTGGGTTGTATTTAATTAGAAAAGTGATTATTTTAGCTATCGTGGTTGTCACCATCAGCTGGTAGACTGTTATTTCCCCTCACTTTGAATCCTACTAGGGTTACTCAGGACTAAGAAGGAAGTGATGATTTTAATTTAAATTCAGATCATTGTGTCTACTGAGGTTTCCAAAAAAGGAAGAAAGAAAGGAAGGAAAGAATTAAATTGTATTGAAATGGGAACACATAGCCTTGGGCAAGTACTATTAGCAACCAAAGTTCAATTTTAACTATATGTGATTGTTAAGAGCTCAGGTTAAATTAGTCTCAGTGACCTATAAATTACTGGTTAAATATCCTAGTGCCTATTCTGTAAACCGTTTGATCACCTCTTTTCAAAGAAGAACATCCGTGATAGTATTTTTAAGTTAAGAATGTATTATAGGGAATTCCCTGGTGGTCCAGTGGTTAGGACTCGGTGCTTTCACTGCCTGGGGCCCAGGTTCGATCCCTGGTCAGAGAACTAAAATTCCGAAAAAGACACGGCAAAAAAAAAAAAAAAAAAAAAAAAAATAATGTATTATATTGTTTAGAAAATAATTGTTATTTAAATTTTTTTAAGTATAAAAAATATACTTTAAAAATATTTTTTTTTACTTAAGAATATATTCTTAAGTTTGTTAAGAATATATTAATTTTGGACAGTGTTTATTAGTTATCTCTTACTGCATAACAAATTACCCCCAAATGTAGCATTTTAAAGCAACAAACTTTTACTATTTCATGCAGTTCTGAGGGTCGGGAATCCAGGAGTGGCCCAGCTAGGTGGCTCTGGCCCAGGGTCTCTCCTGAGGTTGTTGTCGGGCTGTCAGGTGGGCCTGGAGGAACCTGCTTCCAAGTTCACTCCCAAGGCCAACAGGCAGGCCTCACGGGCTACTGAGGGACACTTCAGTTCCTTGTCACAGAGCTGCTCAGGACAAGGCAGCTGGCTTCCTGCAGGGAAAGATCTGGGAGAGGGAGGGAGGGAGGGAGAGAAAGAGAGAGAGACAGGGGTCCAGAAGCTGTGGTCTGGTGCCATGTGGAAGGGGGCCACACAAGGCTTTGAATCCTAGGAGGTCAGGGTCTTTGGAGGCTTAAGAACAACACTGAAAATCAGAATACTCGTTATTCCATTTATTATTTGTAGTATTTCGCTTACCATTATGATATGCTGAAGTCTTTCAAAAAGAATTCAGATCTTAAATAATTGCTCATTTCTGATTATCTTGCAAAGAAATACTCTGTATACTGTCTTCAACTCTAAAACGAAGGTGTTGGGCCAAAGAATCTTGAACACCCCTTCCCATTCTGAAATTCTGATTGTCCTGTGATGTTAATAGATGGTTGAGACTTTTCAATTTACACTCTTGTGTAGAATACAACCAAGTCAAATTCTGCCTCTATACTTTTTTTTTTTCTGGCATGTATTACTATTTCTGTAATAAACTTAAAGAGATGGATAATTCCTGAGTTGTGCTCATCTGGAATAAAGACTGTTGTCACTAGGGCTTCCATTTGATGAGGTTAATGGTCTCCTACACTGTTGTGAAGGAAGAAATGCTTATTTTAAAACCGTTTTAACAGCTACTGAGTCTGTGCTCTAGAGCCCATGAGCCACAACTACTGAGCCCGTGCACCACAACTACTGAAGCCCGCATGCCACAACTACTGAAGCCCTCGCGCCACAACTACTGAAGCCCACACACCTAGAGCCTGTGCTCCGCAACAAGAGAAGTCACCGCGGTGAGAAGCCCGCGCACCACAATGAAGAGTAGCCCCCGTGCACCGCAACTAGAGAAAGCCCACGCGCCGCAACTAGAGAAAGCCCGCAAGCAGCAACGAAGACCCAATGCAGCCAAAAATAAATACATAAATTTAATTTTTTTAAAACAAAGTTCTTTTAGATTGAACGCTGTAGAACACTACCTCTCCAGGAGTCTGTACTGTTTTCAGACTCCCGTATTTCAGAAGTGCTCTTCTGACTTGACCATTTATTTAAGCGGCGACTGAACCACATTCTGTCTCCTAACAGTCTTGTTTGGAACCCCTTCAGCAACTTCCCATTGCTCTCAGAATTAAGCCCAAACCTCTCAATTTATTCCAAAGACCTTTGCGAGCCAGCCTCTGCTACCTCCACAGGCTCAGCTGGGCCACGAGTCCTCTTTTCCAACCTAAACTGCAGCTACGTTGACCTTCTCTCCATTTCTGGAATGGGCCAAGTTCTCTCTCCCTTCTAGGCCTTCACACAGGTTATTCCCTTACCCGGAACACTCTCTTAGTTTCAGCACCAACTGCTTCCCACCAAACTCCCATCATCCTTCAGAATCAGTTTATACATCAGTTCCTCCAGATTCCTCCGTTCTCTTCAGACCCCAGCCCTGCCCTATGCTGTCCGAGCCCCCTGTTCACGCTTGGACATGGCATGTAGGGCTCAGCTTTGTCATTGCTTACTCAGTGGTCTGTCACCCCCATCAGGCCATGTCCTCATTTGGTGTCATCTTCCGAGACGTTCACAGTGCCTAGCACACAGGACCTGCTGTGTTGGGGGAGAAGGAGTGAAGGCATAGTTGACATGTGCTGTGTTTCACATGCTCACTCTATGTTTTAAGCAGGTTTGGAAACATTGTGTGATAGAAGATATACTGCATATATGTACAGGAAGAGAAAATGTTCTTGTTCTTTGCTCAGTTGTTAGAAGATAACTGAAGAAAAGATGAACTTTCCGGTGTGGAATCTAGAAAAATGATACAGATGAACTTATTTGCAAAGCAGAAATAGAGACACAGAGAGAAAAGACAATGCCGGGGGGTGGGGCATGAATTGGGAGATTGGGACTGACATAATCACACTACCATGTATAAAATAGATAACTACTGAGAACCTACTATGTAGCACAGGGAACTCTACTCAGTGCTCTGTGGTGACCTAAATGGGAAGGAAATCCAAAAAAGAGGGGATAGATGTATACATATGGCTGATTCACTTTGTTATACAGCAGAAACGAACACAACGTTGTAAAGCAATTACACTCCGATAAAAATTAATTTTAAAAAAGCAAATTAAAAAAATGGTGAACTCTCCAGGCATTAGCAAGATGCAGTATGGCATAGTTGGAAAATAAAAGATTTGGAATTACCAGATATCTGCTTCCTGTTCAGCCTCTGATTCTCAGATCATTTAGGGTAATCTCTCTGCATAAGCTCTCTGCAGTCTATACCTCAGTTGCTTTGTATGCAATTCTGTTGTTTCTCTTTTGAGTTGTCTGAAAAGGTTTCTAGGCATAGTCCATTACTAAAAATAACCCAATCATTTTTATAGCTAATAAAAATTATATCAGGTAGTTCTGTCACTAAAAAATTAAAATCTTAGAAACCGAAGCTAGTCACTCTCCCCACTTCACCTCAGCTATAAAATTCTTTATCTCAGTTTTCCCTAATCTTTAAGAGTTTCAGTGTCTTTGTACGACTTGATAATGTGTATAGAGGTTGAGGTACTTTTCTTCCCCATGCTTTAATCATTTTGAATGATTAAAAGGTCTTAAAAGGCGATAATATCTAAATGTTTTGCAAAAGTATTTTAGAAGTAGGTGGCTTTGCCCTCATTTAGGGGCTGGGGAAGGAGGGTGCACCGTTCTACATTTTTATCTGACCAAAATGAGTGCTGTAATTCCTAGATAATAAACTGAAACTACCTCTCTGCCCACTGATGTGGAAGTTTATGTGCACAAACTGTCATAGGACTTACAGTAATACCTTGACAAATTTCAGTTTTGAAGACTTTTTTCATGTCATTTAACCACACTCTGCTGAGAACTTGAGTCTTTCTTCAGTGAATTTCATACTCTAATTTCATGAAACTTTAATACTTGAAGGGAAATTAGAAATGAGAGTCTAGCCAACTCTCATTTTATGTAAGATAGGTGGGTTCTTGGTGCCTCTTACTGAAAGAGCTTCTTTCTGTTCCACCTCTGGTGCATCAAAGTTATGCTCCGAGAGATGATCAGTACGGTTGTCCCTCGTTATCTGAGGGGGATTGGTTCCAGGACCCCTCGGACCAAAACCCGAGGATGCTCAAGTCCCTTGTGTAAAATGATATATATTCACATATAACTTATGCGTATCTTTCTTTATACTTTAAATCATCTCTAGGTTGCTTATAATACCTAATACAATGTAAATAGTATGTAAATAGTTGTTAAGTACAATGTAAATGCTATTTAAATAGTTCCCATTAGTGTGACAAATTCAAGTTTTGCTTTTTGTGTGTGTGTGTGTTTTTTTTTTTTTTTTTTTTTGCAGTACGCGGGCCCCTCACTGCCGTGGCCTCTCCCGTTGCGGAGCACAGGCTCCGGACGCGCAGGCTCAGCGGCCATGGCTCATGGGCCCAGCCGCTCCGCGGCATGTGGGATCTTCCCGGACCGGGGCACGAACCCGTGTCCCCTGCATCGGCAGGCGGACCCTCAACCACTGCGCCACCAGGGAAGCCCCTCAAGTTTCGCTTTTTGAAACTTTCTGGAATTTTCTTTTTTCCAAATAGTTTCAGGACGTAGAACCCACTGTCAGCAGACTGCCAACTGTATTAGCAAAACAGAGGCTGGTTTCTCTTGAAGGTGTCAGGTTCCCATGTTAAAGAATGTGAGATTCTAGGTGATGCATTTTGCCAAATCTCTCTGGCCGGACCACAATAGGTGTAGCTGGATGAGCAGGCTCTCTGCAGGGAGGTGAAGCGGTGTGGAGCAGAAGAAAGGGGCCAAGGACGAAGGAACATTGTCCTGCTTGTCCGAGGCAGCCTGCAGCCCAAAAGGCACATGATGGGAACGACAAAGAAGAGCTTTGCACCATCTTCTGAATGGTTTTGACTAGTTATAATAAGATTGGGTTATTTTTAGTAATTGACTATGCCTAGAAGCCTTTTCTGACGCTTCAAAGGAGATAAGCAAAGTTGCATACGAATGAAACTGAGGTGTATGCTGGGTATACGCAGGGAGATTATCCTAAATGATCCAGGAATTAGAGGCTGGCCTGGGAGCAGATATCTGGTAATTCTAAGCCTTACGTTTTCCAACGACGTCATTCCCCACCTGGCTGATGCCCAGAAATTTCATCTTTTCAGACTGAACGGTGAACAGTACATTTTCTCTTTATTTGAACACGTGGCTCTATGTTAATGACGACTTGGAGGGCCACACCTGGGAGATGTGGGCCCAGAGTGGTGATCTTCACGGGAGCTCAAAACACTTGTCATTTAAAACTTTGGTTTGTGACTTTTCACTTGTGAGGGCATATGATATGCATGGGTGTTATTGTGGTACCTGTATGCAAATCGAGACTTAGTGAAGTATGGTATTCTTAGAGCTACTGGTCAAGGCAATGCGAAATAGATCTTTTTGCATAAAAAATTACTGTCGTTTAGATAAATGTACCTTTTGGCATATCGCAAAGAGTTTTGAAATTTGAATTTTAATTCCTTTTTATTTTTTTTGGAGAATGGTCTTTGAGGTCTTGGTCTTATGGGATGGCTTCTATTTCTCAAACTATGTAAAAAGATTTTTAACAATCCCTTGTTATGATCTTTTATTGTATATTTATAGATATTTCTATTTATTCAGCAGTGTTTGGAGCACGTATCGTGTGCTAGCCATTGTTTTAAATGATGGGAAACAGCAGGAAACTAGAGGAGCAGAAATCCTTGTGGTCATGGAGTCAGACAATAAACAAGGTATGTAAATGATTATGTATTGTTATCGATGCTGGTATATCACTTACGTGCCAAGAATTATCCTAAGAGCTTACAAGAATAACTCATTTACTTAGGTGGTGTAGTAGAAGACAAATACTGTGGAAAGAAATCAAGGAGGGAAGTGGGATTTGGAATGCGGATGGGAGTGAGGGAAGGTTTCAATTTTAAAGAGTCTGAGACAGTCGCATTGAGGGGATAATATCTGGACAAGACCTGAAGGGCTGAGGGAACAGGGCGAATGGCTACCTGAGCGGAGGTGGCTTCAGGCCGAAAGGGCAGCAGATACAAAGGCCCTGAGGCAAGAACATTCCTGCTTGTTTTAGGAAAAGCAAGGACGAGAGGAGAGCTTTGGCTGAGAAAGTGTGGGTGGGGTGGCCCGATGTAACTCACATCCAAGTAGGACCACAGCCTCTGGCTTCTGGGTTTGTTAAGGAAAGGAACAACGATAAAAGCAAGGGCCAGTTAGAAGGCTATTTTCATAATCCAGACAGGGGCTCGTGGTAGCCTGGACGAGGATTCTGACCGTGGAGGTGGTTAGAATAGGTCAGAATATGGGTATATTTTGATTACTCTTCAACTATTATGGTTCCAAATCACTGAAGTTGTTGTGCTGCTTCCAGGCTGTTTGTAAGTAGTTAAATTAAAAACCTGTAAAACAAACTCTTTAAAGGCTCTGGCAGCACACGTTATTACTTTTGTGATACTCGGCAATTTGGTTTAGATTTTCATGTGTACAGTATATTCTCAAGTGGAACTACCTGTACTTGGAGATAGAATCTCCCAAGTAACAGTGGCAGTTAAGGTGCGGGGCCAACTGAGCTGATGAAAACAACTGGAAGTGCCAGGTGAAACACCTCTGCAATCTTTCTAAATGCGTCCATGCATGGGTAACAAGAAAATAAATACTAAGGTAAAAGACTGAACAGACAGGTAAGCTGAGTATGGAAGCTGGCTTTTGCCTTAGGGCTTTGGCCAAACCTAGGGTGCCTGAGTATCTTTTACATCCTGAGTTCAAGGATTTAGGAACAGAAAACAAATTCAGGGTCCATCCCAAAGTGGAAAGCCTAATAGGACCTCAAAAACTAGGATCCCTGAAGGGTTCCATCCCCAAGGTGAGAGAACTGAGTGAACCCATTCCCCTCACCCTGAAGAGAAACGTCCCTCCACACATAGCCCACACCATCCAACTAGGAAACTAGTCATCATAATGTGGCCCTGACCCTGGTTTGCAGTCAGAATTCACACAACCTGGATGCCTAGAAAAACCTCAGACCAAGAACTTAAAGTGATCCCAGACTAATGGCGTCACAAGGCATCTGAACTGCAAATGTGAATCCTTTTTGAAAGAACTCTCTTCACCTCAGGCTTTGAAAAATGTCCTGTTCCTGTGTCCCTAAGAAGATGAGTCACTCACAGTTGAAAATCACTAAACTCCCAAAGCCCTGGGTGGGAAATAATATTCTACAAGATAGGCTGCCTGGAAAACTTAGCAGTTAGAATGACCAGACACAGAATATAATCACATTTAATACACTTCAAGAAGTGAAAAGAGAGCTCTGAAAATATGAGTAAAATTGAGAAAAGACCTAATTTCCAGAAATAAAAAAATACTAAGTTAATGGACGGGTTAAACAGTACAGTAGAACTGTTACTGAAATGTTCTCATCCCTTGGCCTCTGGGCGCTTGGTTGTTTTCCTGTCTCTCGGGCCACTCATTGTCAGTCTCATCACAAATTCCGCTATCTAAAAAGACAGCATTGTTTAGAATTCAGTTCTAGTTCTTTTTCTTTTCCTCAGTTTTGAATCTGTGTGAGGATTGACCCATTCACAAGGTTTCAGTTCCGTTAAGTGGAATTCATTTATTTTCCCACCAAATCGTCTCTTCTTCCTAGGCTCCTGATTTAGCCATTGACACTTAAAAAAGAAATTTCTAAGACATCTTTCATAGTTTCTTCCACTTTTCCTTCCAGATTTCATCATTAACAAGTCAGGACCACCCCATCACTGATGTTTCCTTTTGCATCTCTTCCCACTGCTATGATTCACATTTCTTTGCAGTTTCTTTACCATGTTCCCATCGTTTAATCTCCTATTTCTTAAAACCATTCGACCTACCACTACTATTATTTTTCTAAAATATAAGTTCAACGATATCACCCCTGGAGCAAAAACCTCTAGTGGTTCACCTTACATTGTGTCCTGGAAGTATAATGGCCTCAAATGAGATACTGAAGCATACTTAGGCTAAGTACATCCTAAAGATTGTAGGTTCCGTGAACTTTTTGGTACAGAGTGTTAGAAAACGAGGTGGATGGTGGAGAAGGAGAAGATCTGCAGGACCTTCTTAAATAAGTTCTTGGTAGAACATTTGTCTTCTAGGGCAAAATCATGCGTAGCAACCTGTTCTGCTTAGGTTTGAGAAGTGGCAGTAAGTGAAATAAAGTACATTCGCGCATCCAGTTGACGACCAGATAAATGACTTCAGCTCAGATTAAGCAAACTGAAAAAGTCAAAATAAGGCCCATAGAAAAGGTGCTTCCAAACCAGGGAACAGGAGTTTGGAAGATTTTAAGACTTTGAGGAAGAACATCAATGAATGAGGGTAGACTGATTGCTATGACAAACAACCCCACAACTTCAGGGGCTTCATACAATGAAAATGTATCACATCACAATCCCATCCTCTTCGCAGGTTGTGGGGAGGGAAGGGACTCCGCCCCTCCCAGCCCGTTAGGGATCCAGGCTTTTCCCATTCAGTGGATCTCCCATCCCCTGAGGAACCCAAGCCCTCCACTGGATTCTTTGCATCTAGCTGGCAATTTAGGGAAAAAAAGAGCAGGTGCAGGATCGATCCCCTATGATGAGTTTTAAGAGCCAGGCCTGGAGCAGTGAACATTCCTTCTGATAACTTTTATTGGCTAGAACTCAGCCACAGGTACTGGTAGGTGAATAGTTAAATGGTGTATTTGGTCCTTCAAATCATGTTTTAGAAAATAGTAGCATGGGAAAATGGAAACAGTAAGTGGGGGAAAATATGATACAAAAGTAAGTGCAGGGCTTCCCTAGTGGCGCAGTGGTTGAGAGTCCACCTGCCGATGCAGGGGACACAGGTTCGTGCCCCAGTCTGGGAAGATCCCACATGCCGTGGAGCGGCTGGGCCCGTGAGCCATGGCCGCTGAGCCTGCGTGTCTGGAGCCTGTGCTCCTCAATGGGAGAGGCCGCAACAGTGAGAGGCCCGCGTACCGCAAAAAAAAAAAAAAAAAAGTACATTCTGGTTCTAACTCGTTAATAAAATAAATATTTTCATTTAAAAAAGCCTATAAGGAAATAACCCACTAACATTTTGATCTCTGTCTAAATAGTGGGATTGTTGGGAATCTTCTCAATATTCCTCTTTCTTATCTAAATTATTGATTATGAAAATGTTACTTTTCAAAATAAACCTTATCAAAAAAATTTTAAAGAAAGAAAGTGGTGTGTCTTTAAAAGAGTTCTATATTCCTGGAAATTACCCATCAGAGGCCTTGTACATAGTAGATGCTTAATACGTTTTCAAAGATTCACCATATTCATTGACTGAATAATTAAATGGAAAAAGCCTAAGAACTAAATGTTAAGGAACTGTTATTTCCCTAATGATGCTATGTAAATGTGGTAACAGGTGAGCCAAATCACCACACTTTCTATGATAATCTGATTTCAGTTTTGTAACACTTAAGTCATATAGTAGATGTGGTACCAATACTAGCGAGTTACCTGTGTTAGTGTTTCCTGAACTTTATTCATCTTGGTACTGTTTATGCCATTTTTAGTCATACCTAGAGTAGTATACATATTATTGCTTAATATTTTCCATTAAAATTATATACTTTTATAAAGTTAAGTTTAGCTTTGTACTAAACAATGATACTAGTAAAATCACAGGACTGTGGTATTAATTTTTCAACACTTATTAAAATTAATGCATAATTATCAAAATTTTAAAAATTCACATTCTACTTAATCATCCCTTTTAACCCCAACTTTACTACACTTTAGAAATAACTGACCTATTATATGTCATATTTATCTACTTAATGTTTTAGGTTCAAGTTTCTATAATGTTTAGGTTCAAGGTTCCATGAACAATACAGGTTTTGCCCACCTGACAGAATATCTAGTTTTATGAATTATGCTCTAATTTTGTGATTTATGTTCATGTATAGGTGAACATAAAGTGAATGTTTAATAGGTACTATAAATAAGTTAACTTACTTTTTAACAATTTGTTTTTAAATGATGAATACTCCATCTTCCCCACACCCATCCCATTAATGGAATCCCACTGATACGATACAGAATGTTTCTAAGGCAAAACAAAATAAGTCAGTTAATATATGGAACTTTTTGTTTTGTTTTTTTTTTGCGGTACGCGGGCCTCTCACTGTTGTGGCCTCTCCCGTTGTGGAGCACAGGCTCCAGAGGCGCAGGCTCAGTAGTTGTGGCTCATGGGCCCAGCTGCTCCACGGCATGTGGGATCTTCCCAGACCAGGGCACGAACCCGTGTCCCCTGCATTGGCAGGCGGACTCTCAACCACTGTGCCACCAGGGAAGCCCTGGAACATTTTTTAAAGACCAGAATTCTTTGGTTTGCACGTAGCTCACATGAGTAAAATAGAGAGGTAGCTACTGTTTCTCAAGATCATGATCCTGCTCCCAGAGATGATAAATGACAACAACAGCAAAAGCTGGCCATTAATTTCACACTTTGGGTGCAAATTTCTTTTTTGAATGACAAAGAATACAAACTTTGGGTTTTGTGACTCTTGAACTAAAAATACAGAGGGAATTGTAGAATGTACATCTGGGGAAATCCTTAGGATAGAGACCTTTTCCGGGATGATTTATGTGTTGTCTAAAAATAAGGCTGTGGTTTCTTGGTTGTTCCTGGCTTTGTGGTTATTAAGTTTTTCACCTTTTAAAAACCAAGTGTTAAGAAA